TGATTCAGAGCATAATGTGTGGGAGCCATCTGGTCCCGTAGCTGAAGGAGCAAATGGAAAATCTGATGAAAGCACAAACAGTCACAATGAGAGACTGAAAAGATGTGTTGATATTCCAAGCAGAAGTCTCCTTCTGTGGGGGGTAATCTCATCATCCATTGCCTCTTTCCTACTCCCTCCTCTGGAAACCTGCTGTCAGCCAGGTTGCACTCTCAGCTCTGGGAGTACTCACACCTATGGGATGCTAAAAATATGTTTCATGTGCTTGAGCATACCTCCCGAGACAAGAATTTGCTCAGCAGTCAGCTGTGCAGTGAGCAAGATGTGCAAGATGCTTGCATGCAGCACAGCACATTTTAGGGAGCTTGGACTGATCCAGAACTTTGGCTGGTTAAAAATGCACTCTCAGTTGGGATTCGTCACTAATATTGTCCCACTGCTGTGCAGAATGACAGCTTATGGCTGTGACAGACTGAATGGAGTTTCACCTCAGCTTGCCTAGATATTCCCAGCCCTGCAAAGGAGATGTATTTTGGAGGGACTGGAGCATCAGGGGAGAAACAAGGAACTGAGTGCAGTGGATGGGGTAGAGCTTTGGATGGCTTTGATGTGGCACAGTTGGTGCATAACTTGTCCTGAATATGGAGTTAATAAAAGTGATTTGATTGTATTTTGCAGCCAGTCTGGTTTTCCCTCATTCTGACCCTGGTTTCTGATGTTTGGAGGGCACAGGGAAGGCAGGGAGACAGAAGATGCCTATTTTAGTACTTCTCTGCAGGGGATGCACACGTTTCAGACAGGTACACATTTGTTTCCTCTGACACCAAATTAATGGGAATTGATGTATTGATTCTACAATTCTTTTTAAAATTGCTTCAAGTTTTGGCTTGCTTTCAAGCTGGCAAAATGCAATGTGCACACAGTTCAAGACAGCTATTTAATTATTGTAATATTAATATAGTTTAAAAAATTCAGTTTCCTGTGAAATGCAGAAGATAAAAAGCATAGAGAGCAGCCCAGAAAGGCTCTATATCCTGGGTTCATCCCACAGTGAGGGCTGCAGGTGAGGGGGGATTCTGCCTTTCTGCCCCACTCAGGTGAGACCCCACCTGCAGAGCTTCCTCCAGCCCTGGGGAACAACAGCAGAAGGATTTGGAGCTGCTGGAGCAAGTCCAGAGGAGGCCACAGAGATGCTGCAAAGGCTGGAGCCCCTCTGCTCTGGAGCCAGGCTGGGAGAGATGGGAATGTTCAGTTTGGAGAAGAGAAGGCTCTGGGGAGACCTTAAAGACCCTTACAGTGTCTAAAGGGGCTCCAAGAGAGCTGGAGAAGAACTTTGTACAAGGGCCTGGAGGGAGAGGACTAGGGGGAATGGCTTCCCACTGGCAGAGGGCAGGGATAGATGGGATATTGGGAAGGAATTGCTTCCTGTGAGAGTGGGCAGCCCGGGCACAGGGTGCCAGAGCAGCTGTGGCTGCCCCTGGATCCCTGGAAGTGTCCAAGGCCAGGATGGGCATTGGGGCATGGAGCAGCCTGGGATAATGGAAGGTATCCCTGCCCATGGCAGAGAGGATGGAACTGGAGAGTGTCCAAGGCCAGGATGGGCATTGGGGCATGGAGCAGCCTGGGATAATGGAAGGTATCCCTGCCCATGGCAGAGGGGATGGAACTGGATGTCTTAAAGGTCCCTTCCAACCCAAACCATTCTGGGGTTCTATGATTCCATTACACAATAATAACGTGAGTCAGTAATTTGTCAGTCTCAAGTGTTAAATCCACTGTCTTTAGGACTATTCCTATATGTAACTAAATAAATACTGGCAAAGTAGTCACCTTAGGTACTCAGCTATTGTATTTGTAGACTATGGGAATAACTGTGCCACATAGGCTCCTGGTCCTAAAAAGAGAAATAGCTTGTATTAGGAATGGAGTAAGAGTCCTGTATTTTCTTCTTTGATCACTTTGTCTCTGCCTTTATGATCTCACTAGGACAGTGATATGACAGATGCTTCTGTATTTTGAGTGGCAACATGACTGGTCCAAAATTTGAAGTCATCTTTGTGTTTCATTTATTTTCTGGCAAAACAACATCCATGTGCAGTTTAAGAATAGAACATATAAAAAAAATGTATAGAACTCCAAAGCACAGAACACAGAATTTCTGGGCAAAATTCTCTTCTCAGTTACATTTACATAACTCTGGAGTAGTGTCTTCCTCTTTCTTGTTGTTACTCTGAGCCCCTTTCCCTCTCATTGTGTCAGAGCCATAGGATCTACCATACATGGCTGAATCCAATTTCGTCACAACTGTTGCAATCTCCTAGACAAAATTACAATCTCAGAGGAAGTACATAAAGATGCATGGGCCTCAATATCCTAAAAATATGCTGCTGTCAGTTCTCTGTTAGTAGTTTTCCATGCAAATGAAAATGCCAGGGTGGTGGAGAACTGCTGAACTATCTGGAGCAGATTCTCCACACAGACACAAGCAGAGAATCTGCATTATTTGGCCAAGCTCCTTTATAAAACATCATGTTCAGTAGCTCTTTCTTTAAACAAAGAAAGGGTTTGCACTAAATTGTTTGATATTTATTTTGTGTAACTCTGTTCCTTGGCTGTCCATGTTACAGAAATGCTGTTATGCTCCAAGAAGACAGATTGCCTGGGCTGGAAGCCCCAGCCCTGATCCAGGGAAGCACATGGCTTCCTTACAACGATTATGATGAATATAATTACTATTCAGTATATGGGGCAATTGTTTTTGGTGTTTAAAACAGAACAAAACAAAACAAAACAAAACAAAGCAGGTTTGGAAAGGAAAACAGAACATTAAAAAAAATTGTTAAATAGGAAGTGGTTGACTTTCAGGAAGTAACTCCATATGCAGATTCTGCTATCCAGCGTTTCCAGTCATCAGAGAACGGAAAGAAAAAATGCCATTAAATATCCCAGTGGTCCTTTAGAAAATAATGCACCTCCCTTTCTGTAGGTATAACATTTTACATCTCCTGTCCAACAGCTGGTGGTGTCAAAGGCCAAGCGAGCAGGACGTGGAATGCAGAGCTTCAGTGGTTACTGAAGGCAAAACCATCTAAAGCTGTAGCAGATGTTCCCTTGCTTCCTGTCTGCTTATCAGCCCTGCAAAGGCACTTGGGTTTTGTGCTTGTTGTGCCAAGGGTAGCTATGGAGATCTCCTACAAGCTGTGCAGTAGTGATAGGCTGAAGGATCTTTGTGTCTTTGGTTATGAATGATCAAGAAAACAGCATGGTTTCTAAGAACTCGCTCACAATTTTCCATATGTGCATCAGTCGTTCCCCTCGCACGACACGAAAATGACATTTGAAATCATAAAATAACTTAAGAAATACATTTCTGCAGTGAAGATGTTCATTTGGCCTCTGTGTGCTCATGTTTTATACATTGTTTCTAGTACACCATGAAATAAAGAATAGTATATCCAACCAACTGTATTTCTCCAAGGCCTTAAAAGTGCTCCAGAAGAGTTTTTAACTGTCAATTTAAATATCACTGCCACTAATCCTTTTTATTGCACCTCAGCTCAGTTTTAATTCCTGTTTATTCATTATAAGCTCTTGTAAATTATAACTTTAATATGAATGACTACATGCAAGTGTTAATGCAGTGCTCCATCTATTCTAGGGTTTTGAGATAGTTTAATGAGACTGATTTTTACACTGATGCCTTTAAATTAATATGCATTCCCAATACAGTCAAGACCTAGGGCAATTAAGTTCATTTCTTATTAGGCAGGAGTTCTTTTCCTCCATGAAATAGAAGAAATAAAGGAATTTATTTTATGTAAATTCTAGCCCAGATGTTTTGCTTTAAAGGGTAGCAGAAAAGGATGGATTTGGAATGGTTCCTTTGCCCATCTTGAAACTGGAAACCAAAAGTGACAGTTTTGACTTATCACTGGTAGACATGGTTATAGATATTCCTGTGGGATACAAAAGAGGAACAGTGGCTCTGTTGGTGTTTGCCACATTTCATGCAACATTATCCAGGAAAAAGAGCACTAGGTAACCATTATTGCACCTTTAGATTGTTGGTTGCATTGCAAATTTGTGTGGACCTGGAAAATGCAAAGAGTGGGCATAGAGCATCCCTTCTAGGGGTGATATTCAGTGTACTGCAACATCATGGCCCATAGTCCAGGAGGAACTGAAGCCCTTTGGGACAGTAGGTTCCCAGGGAAGTAAGTGTGGACATTCTTTGAGAAAATGAGCTTCCATATGAAAGCTAGAGACCTAAAATTCAGTCACCTTCCTGTCCCCAAAGGCATGCAAGGATAAGACAATGCATGAAACAAAAGAGAAAATTTATTGAAATTAAGATACCAGGACTGTATGCAAAGGGCAGACTTTCAGGCAAAGATGATCTGAAGAATGCAGTGATAGAAGTTGCCTGAAGCATCTGGGAAAACACAAGAAACTGAAGATGAAAGATGAACTGATGAAGATGAAAGAGGAAAAGAGGGGAAAAAGGGGGCCCAGAGGTCAAATTTGTACGAGTTAGGAATGTGGAGTAGGTGAGCACAATTCTGTGGGTGAGTTCCTGATAGAGATGCAGTAAATATATTAAAAAAGCAATATATTGGTACTATGACTGGGAAAGAGAGTTTTTGTTTGAAGTGCTTGAAAATTGAGGTCACAGTATTTAGACTTAGACTGTAAGGGGTAGCACAGTTGGAAGCAGGATGGATGAGATGGTTTAACAGGGCTTCATTGTAGCCACATTAATTCAGTTTAAATAATTAATTCTCTTTTAAACTGACTCTATTCTGCACACTTGACATTTTGGAAAATCTGCCATTGCCTGGCCTTCTGGTAAATGCTTTTGCATTTGTTTTCCATTGTTTCCTTCTTGAAAAAAAAATCCTTGTCACTAACAGGAACCATCAGCAGCATGGAACAAATTGACTTGCCAAGGACATTTCCTCCCATCTCATTATTTGCACTGGAAGTACTCTTTTTTTTTTTTTGTATCAAGAGTCAGAGTGTGATTTTTTAAAATTTCCATTTATTAAGGTAGTTTTGTACTGTATTTTGAGTCAAATTCAAACTTGATTATGTAAATTACTTTCTGTGCATCAACATTTGGTCATACATTTTCCAAGGAGGTGATCAAGCAGCTTAATTAATAATCAATTCACAGTTCTCTCTGCCTACCTCATTATGTAGAACTCCTGACTGTTACAGGAGAGGGTGTCCTCCAGGTATGAATCAGAGCAGATACATCACCCTCCCTCTTCTGCTCTCAGAACATTGATTGTGAGACTCAAGTGGCTGAGATTGAGTGGATCTATAATGTTATCTGGCACAAATTGGGTTAAACAAACAGGTTGTGCATTCTACTTCCAAGGTGATTTGGTTTGTGTGTTCTCTCCTATCCTTTCTGAGCTCTTGGTTGTGGCTCAGTTGCTAAAAAAGTGTTCATCTGCTCTAAACTCCCCCTTGGAAGTGGCAGTGCTGTATGGCAAAGGAACACAAACATAATTTTTTTTTGTGGGGGAGGTCTGTTGGGACTGGGGCTCCTTCAGGTAACCTGGAGCCAACCCTCTGAGAGCTCAGCAAAGGGCAGAGCCTGGGCTGACCTACATTCACAGTGACTCACCATGAGATTTAATGTTGTTCCTCTGTTTTGCTGGTTTCTCAGCAGTTGCTGAGGCTTTAAACAAGGGTACTCTTACCTAACCCAATCGATGGATGAGCAGTTAGGACCCAATCTGATGCAGCCAGTATTTGTAATAGTAGAAGGGCACATTCCAAAGCTGTTACAGAAGAAAAGAATTTCAGATAATTAGGAGAGGAGTTGGGCAGTGATACAGATTTAAAAAGTACCCAAGATAAAATAACAGATACTAAAAATATATGCATTGAGATGAAATCCTCATGACTCAGTACTCGAGCCAACTTCCATTCTCTAGGAATTAGCAAGGAAATAATCCAAACAGGGTAGGTCCTGGTGTATTGCCTTACTCTGGGCTTGCACTTACACTTCAAAGATGTATCTCACACTGAAAAAGGTCAGACTCAAGTCTGACTTTTCAGGGCAATTGCAAATTTTTAAAAATATGTTCTGTCGTTGTAACTTTTCAAAAAAATTGTGAGTTTATTTCTATCTAGAAAAAAAATCTAATAGAGAGCACTCTGGACCTTGAAAGGCAAAAGCATTGACAGCAGGACCAGAGATGCATTCTTTGTTACAAGCAGGACATTCATTTTAATACCTGTGACTCTCTAGCTAATAACTGAGGAGTGGTCAATCCAGCTTGCAAATAGAAACACAAGAGTGCCATTTCTTCTCTTTTTTCCTACATGAAGTGTTCTCTGACTGGATGAGAAACATTGAAAGTATTGAAGATAGTGTAAGCATTAAAAGTATTTTGAAAGAAATGAATATTTTGAAAAGTATTTTGAGAGCTGTAGAATCTCAGAAAAGCAGAAATCTGTGTTAGGAGAGCTTCAGCTACAATCTGGGTCAGATTTTCAGTGCAGATGTGTCAGATGCAGTTCCTTGGAAACTCTCCATGACAGTTAGTGAGAAGAGTGACCCAATGTTTTCTCACCGTACAAAATAACTGTTCTGTTTGATGATGTCATGTGCATGAAGCACTGCCTGCATTCCCACAGCAGAGTCCTGTTTCAGCTTGTTTGGGAGAAGAGATTTTTGTCTCAGAACTGTTTCAAACAGGGAGTTTAGCAAATCTCTTTGGTACACCTTGACTGATCTCAATCAGTTTTCAGAATTTTAATGATCTGGTTTTATTTGCAGATAATGATTATTTATGTAAATGAGATGCCTTATAAATAAATATGGAAATTATTCCATAATATTAATTACAGGCTTTATGGTTTAAACATTTATTACACTAAAGACAAATGGTGCTGGGGATTGTCTGAGTTTATTGACTTAGTTACTTTGTTAGTTTTATTTTAACTTGACTTACATATGTTGGGCAGTATTTCCTGAACTAAAACAAGGTGTATTGTGTGCCTGGATATATCAAAGGATATTGAAGGATAATAAAAATCAAAATGCATCATACAGTGGTAGTAGTAAATGGAAACCAGACTTCAGAATGATTTTGTCTAAAAATCAAAGAAGTGAGTTTTACTTGGAAAATCTCAGCTTAAGTGTTGTTAGCCGTTTACTGAAAAATTAAGTCTTAAATTAATTATGATCCTTTGCACTTCTATAGCTGCTTCTCTTGAGAATCTCAGTAGTGTTCTACAAACATTAATTAAGCTTAATAGTACTCCTGAGAAGTGGTTAAGTGATAGATATACTTCACCCACCATGATATAAGCAATCTCTAGAACAAAATACAAAAACTTTAAACAGCAGGACTACATAGGAGTTTAGAGCCTGAAGTATCCCCATCAGGCAAAACTGTGGGGAGGATTTAGCTACATGGGATACAATTGCTTGGCCTGGGCATGATTCAAAGGTGAATATAAAGTACAAATATTAAAGAACTCTTCACTAGAGATCTCTAGTGAGGGAAAGTGGTTTTCTATGGCCCCAAAGTATTATGTGGTGTGGCTCTGGTGATGAATTGAATACTGATTCAGAGGAAAACTGCTATTTGCAGAAATCACCCCCAGATGGGCCAAAGAGCAGGCATCCACATGGAACCTTTAAGGCTGATGCATGAACAGCAGGGATAGCAGTTAAGTCCTCTCACCCCTGAGGGAACAGGAGCTGCTGAAAATAGCAACAAACCAGCAGTATCAGTGTGTACATTTACAGCCCCAGACTGTTATTTTTGCTGGCGAATCTGCATGCACAATTTCCTTCCTGATATTACTCCACAAAGAGCAGCTTTTGTTATCTGGCATTACTGATGACAGCAATACTTAAACCAGGTTAGTGCTGGCACAGACAGCAAGCTGGCTTTGATAGATGCATTAGGATTTGGGCCGTCCTCAAGCAACCCTTCTGCTGCCCCGTGCTCACAAAATGGACTGCAAATATTTGCCTGGGAGCTTCCAGTGTCCAGAAATGTGGTCCAGCTGTACACGCTGATTGCCCGCTAACGACAGGACGAGAGGTACGGATGGCATGGCTGGCTTGACACCCCAACCCTCAGCAACACAGCCAAGCACATCTTCACTGGTTTATCCCTAACACCAAAGGCCATCCCCTGCCTCTCTTACCCTTCCAAAGCTGATAGCTGCTGCCATGCTGCAGTGCCTTGTGAATAATTTTAGCAGTTGCCGAGGGAAACTTTACGACGCGCAGCCTGAGTCCTGAGATGCGCGCTCTGAAATCTTGAGGAAGCAAATCGGTGCTGGAAAGGGAAATGATAATGAGTTTGCATCAGATTTTTATTTATAGATATGACTTGGAAGCAGCTGGATCTCCTCCTCGGGTACATTTTCTTTCCTTTCTGTTTCCCAGTATTTCTGTTCTTTTGGGACCACAAGCTCTCCCATAAATATTGGCAATACATGCCTGCTGAGAAACTCTCTCTACCTGCTGGAGAAAAAAAATCTCCTTGTTTTATGCAAGTGGAATGCCTAGATACTGCAACTAGACAATTAGTCTTTATCCATACACATATACAGTAACATTCTTAATTTGCATTTGTGAATTGTAATTCATGACACATGACTCCAGTGCTTCTGCTAAGTTCAGTGGCTTTTGAATCAGGGCCTGTATTTGCTTCATTTCCCCATATTTTCAGCTGCTTCAGTAATTACCTAAAGAAAGGTCTGAAAAATAGATATATTTTTAATAGACATATATGATATTCTATTTCCTGTTTTATAATGCATAGTCGGTAGTTTCTCTGGAGTGCAAAAAGCTTTTCAGAGATACTGTACTTGAATCAGTAAAAGGAAGGGTGACTGCACTGTTGTACTGCTGCACCATAATATTGAAATGCTTTATTATTTCATAATCTGTCCTAGAATTTAATCATTCCAAGCTGGGACGGTCTCTTTATGTCAAAAGGGATAAGTCCCAGATTTACAAATATGCCTGTATGAAAAAACCCATGAAGATGTGGCTTCGTTTCCAGTGTGATTCCAGCTTGCCAAAGGCTCCATTTCATTGCATAACCCTCCGGATGCAGATCCATTACTGCACTGTAAAGTGGGTTACTGGACAGGGTAAGGCAATTCATCTTCTGAAATGCAGAGTCTTGTTTTGCCAGTTATGGAGTTTATAATTATCCATTATCATTATCTCCATAGTTATTTTTACCAAGGTTACAGATAGGTCTGTTTGAAAGGTATTCTGTTGGGTTCTCTTGGAGGTTCATCCTTCCCCTGTAGAGGTAAATGAGCAGTGCACACAGCACAGCCAAGTGAGTTCAAAAGGCATAAAACTGGTGAGAAAGTGAACAGATTAAGTCCCAAACTGCACACTTAAGAAACTGAACAAAAATTGTTTTGCTTATGAAAGCCAGTGTCTGCCAGGAAAAACTGGGAATAGTGATAGCTGCTTTTTTTTTTTTAAGCACTTCTGAAGCCCCATGAATTATAAATCATCAAACCCACAATCCTGGGACAAGTCTCTTAAAATCATGTCCTGGGACAGCAGAGTTCTCCACTCTATTCCTGGCTCTGTCACTGACCATCTGCCACTTGTCCTCTGCCTTGCTTGAGTTTACCCATGTGTAAAATGCACTTAAAATAATCTAAACCAGACTTTGAAAATTACTTCAGTGCCACAAGCTAGAAATTTGGGGTTGTAACATGGAAAAAAATCGTTCTGTGGTTGCTGGTCCATAGAAAGCCTGCGTGTCTCTCTGGCTGCACTACGGGGGAGGCTAAATCTGGCTGCCAGGGCTCCACCCTGCACTTGAGAGGCAGCAGAATCCCACATGAAGCGTGCTTGGTGCCTGCCCACCTGCACTACATGCAGTTGTTAACTTGGGTAATTAGCTTACTATGCACAACAAGAATCTGATCCAACACTGACTGGAATTAATAAGTAGACTTCAGTGACTTAATGATCTTGGGCTCGGGTCTTCATGTGCAAGTAGAGATGCTTGCTCAGAGATCCTGAAAATCCCTGGGAAGGGAAAGGCTTTGTCTGACTGACACATAGACACATCTCTGTGCAATGAGCCTGGCAGGAGCTGGGCACACAGTAAATCTGTCTCTGCCTGTACAGTAGCACTATTCACTGATGCTGCTCTTTATTCACAAATAAATACAGAACTACAGTCACAATTTTTCATAGGCCCTTTTGCACGTGGCTTTAGAAGAGCCTTAAAGTGGAAGATTGATGACGAGCTACGCAGGAAAGCTTCTCAGTGAGATTTGTTAGGAAAGGTGACTTGATGAAGGTGGTGACAAGCTAATAATGAAATGGAACATTGCAATTAAATGTGCTGGTGGGGAAGAAAGTGTGCCACAGCCAAGAGCATGAGCAGCAGGTAGGTCAGGGAGAGAACGCAGCAGAGGTTTGATGGAACACGGTGGGAAGGAGGGGGAGATGTAAGAACAAGAAAGACAGGACAGAGATAAGCACTGTTAGATGTGATAGCAGTACGGGGCAGAAACTGCTTTGGTGTTTGTATCAGGCCTTGCAGAGAGAGAACCCCGTCCCTGACCACAATTTGTTGACATTGACACAATGTGTAATTAAATGCAGATAGTCCTAGAAGGACAGAAATGGGGGGGGGCAAACAAATTGACAGCAAAACAAAGACATCTACACAACGTTTTACTTATAAAAGAGCTGAAAAGTATGAAAACTGCCAGAGAATATTTAAGAATTCTGTTTCTCCAAAATGAGTTTCCATTAGAAATAGTCCAGGGTATTTTAATGGTTATGAACTTAAACCCTGCAAAGTGAGCTATTCATACATCAGTGCAGGGATTTTGCTCAGTATACAGGCAGCTGTAACAATACTCTCAGAAGCAGGAACAGACCCATTAATCTTGGATGTTAACGCTGAAGCCTAAAATTTATGCCTACCTAAAAAATGAGCAAGAGCAGAGAGCACAGAACAGTTTGCATATCAAAAATTACTAGCACTAGCCAGAAGATGGAGTTCAGTATTGCTGTTTATTTGAAAAGCATTTCCAGGACTGAAATATATCGGAAATTGATTTAGAAAAGTCTCTACCAGCACACCAAATAATTTAAGGACACGCTACTGAACACAGAGCATCTTGCTGTAGTGAATAGTGACATTCTAGGTTCTTGGTCTCTCACTTACCCCACTGTGTAGTGTCTGGAGAGACAAGTTCTTTCTGGGTGTGGCTGGAAATGCATTTCACATAGAAACACAAGGAATGGGAACGTTCTCGTAGTCCCTGACACATTCCTTACTCGGTTTGCTGTCTGTTGAGAAAAAAACAAGACAGACTTAGCTCCTAAATATCAACCCTGGTAGTGCAGAGCTGTCCTGCATGTGTAGGCTTGCACATGGGTGCTCCTGCCCAGGTAGACACCGACAAGTGTTAGCCACCACATTTCCTACGTGCGGGGTACGAGGAGCAGCATTTCTGCTATAAACAATTTAATTAATAAAAGCATGTGGGGGAAACCAATGTTATTTTATACTTTTTGGCTTTTGTGTTCTATTTGGTCAGATTTTCAGAGGGATGAGGTAAACCAAGAGAGTAGGTCTGAACATATCTGAGTATTTACAGTTCAGTTTTGATAAATTCACAGTATTTACAAATTCAGAACTTCATATGAATTTTATGTCTTTTATAACGAGCCACATCTAAACCCCTAAGCCAAACATCCAGAACTGAGGTAAGACAGAATTCAAACTCAAAATTGTATGGTTGGAACCTATCCCTAATCAGCACTTTGGTATAAAATTTGGAAACTCAGGGTTGCAGTGGACAAGGTGCCAGAAAAATAGTATTTATTTCTGTGTGGGTACAGGCAGGATTCGTTCTGTTGCGCTCAGCAACATCTTGACACGCTGCACTAATCTTAGCTGCACGCTCTTAAAAGATTATTTTTGTCTCGGGTTCTTTTTCTAGTCTTTGATGCAACAGCCTGCTGCGGGTTACATCAAGCCTGCAGAAAATCCCTCGGTTTTCTCATCCCTTGTTTTCCAGACAGCCGGCACCTCCTCCGGGTCCAGGCGACGGGCGCCGCAGGTGAGCCAAATCCCGGCCTATCTGGGCCGGAGATTAATTTCTGTTTAAATTAAAGATGCTGCCTGGATTAAAAGGCTGAGGTGGTGGGGAGGCACAGTCGAGCCCGTGATCTGCGCGCTGTGTTTTAGGCGCTTTCGCTAAGGGAGCCCCGCTCCCCCCGTCATGGCTCGGAGCAGCCGGCGCCGCGTTCCGTGAGGGGGAAGGCGGGAGCGGCGGGGCCGCGTTCCGTGAGGGGGAAGGCGGGAACGGCGGACCCGCGGTGCGCGGGAGAGCGCTCCGAAGGGACCCGGTGGGCGGCGGGGCACGGCAATCTCCCCCTCAGGAGCCGCGGGACCCGGCGGGTGCCGTCCCGCGCCCGCCCCGCCGCGATCACGGGTCGCAGCCCGCCTCCCCCGCCCCGTGACAGCCAAGATGGCGGCGGAGGGGAGGGGGGATCCCGCCTGAGCCGCCCACACGGCGGGAGGCGGCGGGGGCGAGCCGGGCTCCGCTGGGATGAGATAAGGGCGCGGGCACCGAGCGCGCTGCCCCCCGAACCCCTTCACCACCCGCTCCTCGCCCCGGGGAGCGCGGCACCCGCCTGAGGTGAGCGCGGCGGGGCTGTCACCGCCGCGGGGCGCGGGCCGGGGGGTTCTCCGAGGCGATGCCGCGGGTCGGGCGCTGCCGCGTTCCGGGGCCGGCGGGGAAGGGGCGCGGGGCTGTCAGCGGGGGCGGGGAGGCCGGCGCTGGCGGGCCGGGGGCTGAGGCGGCGCGGGGGCGGCGGTAACTTTCCGCTGGGCCGCGGTGGGAGGGGGGAAAACTTTCTCCTTGTGCCCGCCGGCTCGAGACTCCCGCCAGACCCCGCCGGGCCTGAGGGGCTCCCCGGGCGGCGGGGCCGCGGGGCCGGCCGAGCCCTCGCCGCCGTCCAGCCATGTTGTACGGGCTGCACGCCGGCGGGCCGGGGTGTGTGCGCGTTCCCCGAATCCGCGTGTGTGTGCGCGTTCCCCGAATCCCTGTGTGTGTGTGCGTGCCCCCGAATCCGCGTGTGCCGGTGCGGTGCCCAAACCCCGAGCCTGTGCGGTGCCCGAGCCCCGAACGTGCGCGTTCCCCCGGTCCGCGTGTGTGCGCGTGTCCCCGGAGCCATGTGCGGGTTTTCCGCGCAGCACCGCTGCGTCAGCCGGAATTGCCCGGCGGTGCTCGGCCCCACGGTGCGTGTTTCTGTCCCGACTTTCCCTTCGGCAGCCTGGGTTATCCTATACCTGGATTGATGCAACGCGCTGTAGAAATTAGCCCTGGCATTTTTGTCGTCGCTCTGTCATGAGGTCTGCGTGTGGCACAAGTTGCTGGCCAGGGGATGATGGTATTCAATAACTTCCCAGTGATGGTTGCTATTCCGAAGTTATTCCAAACAGGCTCCGTTTAAAAATGTGCCGCTTCTACTTTGCTAAAAATGAGGTCTTGACTTTCTGCCTAGTTCTGAAACTTAATTCTTTTGAATTAACTGAGTGGAAGTATGGTGTTCTGGGCAACTTTTTACTTCATTTCACAATTTTTTCTGGAACTGTTGCTCAACTGGAGGTTTCCGTAAAAAGTGTTACATTACAGTACATAATATTTCACTTTTTGAATGATTAAACACAAATATGTTATCTTGGCAAGTGTCTGGTGGTTTAAGGATACTAATTGAGTTAGTCTAGCCAAGAAAGGTCGAGGGGAAGTAAATGGATTATTTCTGGTTTGTGTGTCTAGCATGCAAGTCTTACTTTGTGAGAGTTCCTTGCTTTTCTCATCTTGTTTTAAAAAGTCATATATTTAGAGTACTGGAGAAACTTCATCTAGCTTTTAGAGTATTGAGGAGTCTGTAAGTTTATTTAAAGTGAGCATTAAAGTGGAGCTCTGGTAAAGGGAGCTGTTTTTTAGGGGCTATCGTGACTTGGCATTGAAATAGTTTAATTATCAAAAATAGAGCATTACAGTTTCTGTGGTTAGCTTGAGGAAGGGGAAAATTGCATGGAACCTTAAAGACAAAACAAAGAATATTAAGCTTCTCTACAGCCTTAAGAGCTTCTGTGATGTACGTGTTTACTTCTGGAAATGTTGGGCTCCAGCTGAATGAGTGCTTTCCTCAAGTTTGAGTGTCTTGTGCCCCTTTGGAACAGGATTTACCCAATGGCCTCTTCTAAAAAGTGCATTTATTAGAAAGCAGTACAAAATATAAGATTTGCTTCTGCAAGCAGTAAGACAAAAAGCCAGGACTATTTTCTTTAAGCAGAGGCTTATTTAAAAATACTTTCCCAGTATTTGAGATTTTCATACCTCTGAGTATTCATATTTTCTGTAGATGTATGGTTGCAGGTTTGTATTTCAGCTCATTCTGTATGACATAACCCCAGTATGGTGCTTAATGGAATTACTATATGTTTTAATGGCAATATTAGCAGTTATCTAGTTAATATAGTCAGAGTTAATTATTAGTTAGAAAAAGCACAAATATTGACATAGCCTGGCACACACTATAGGGCTCAGGTGCACGCAGCTGATGCAGGTCAAGCATTAGAAACAATGTCAATAACCTGCTTCTATTTCAAATATGTGCTTGAAAGGGAAAGTGGAGAGATAGAGGGTAAAGCCAACTGGTCCCTAAGGGGAGTGAGGTTGTAACTAATACAGCTGTTCTGTGTGCCTCTTGCAGAAGAATTGTGGGCACCACCACTGCCAGAAGCCAGTCTGTCAGTTTTTAATCTGCAGGATTTTGCATTGAGGGTTTACTAATTTCTAGGTTAATTCCTGCTGTAGTGTGTGAAAGCTGGAGAAAACTGTCTTGTGACTCTTCAGAGAGGAAGACAATTCCTAGACCAAGCTGAATGATAATGGGGTTTGGTAACCTTGAGGTTTTAATACAAGAACAAGAAATTTGCAGCGTCACTTAAATATTCAACATCCTTTTTTATTTCCATCATGCTCCCTAGCAGCTGAGTTGCTGTTAGTTTTGCAAGTCATAGTAGGTTGAAATGCTTTTTATAACACTGGCTGCAGAAACATTTGTGCTTCCTGGCCAAACACAGGCAGGTTGGAATGGGAATAGTACAATAGGTACTTAGTTGAAAGCTTTCTGAATCTTTAATTTATCTCCTGAAATGAAGACTTGCAGGAAGCCTTCTTTCCGTTTTTTGTCCTTTCCTCAACTTTGGCCTGAGTATTTAAATGTGGTGTTGGTATGACCAGAAATTTGGAGGCCAAATGTTGCCCAGTTTATGTTGGATTAAAAAATAAAAAGTCAATGTAGCCTTGTAATGTATTTCCGTTTTATGTTTGGTGATTTCCAGCTGTGCTGCTGTGTGACAGGTTCCAGTGGTAGAGCTCTTGATACATGTGTTGATGTAAAACTCAGGTATTTTTTCAGAAGTTTCCTGGAAAGAACTGTAATGTTGAATAATACTAATAATGAAAGAACCAAAAAAAAAAAAAAGAGACACCAAAATAATTTCTATATGAGTGCCTTAACAAAGCATGATGCAATTTGTGATGATTGGTGTATTTCCAGTGTGTTTGTCTTGCTTGTTACAGTATTTTGATCAGGCTTCTCTGGGAGGTATTCAAATTTCAAACTTTTGTTAAGCTGACTCATAACAAAGCCAAACAAAAAAAGCCCAAAATCCAAATCAGGCTGTTCCCAGTTTGCAATCCCCCTCCAAAACCAAAGCTGTAAAACTGTAGGACCTTTGAAGAGAGTTGGGGTTGAGTTTGCCCTCATGCAGGGGTGCAGGTGTGGTGGGCTCAGATCACCTGTCCCTTGTCCTGCTCTAGCTTCACTGGCTGGTGACAAGAGCACAGAAAATGCCCTTGGGTCTCTTCACTTGTATATCAATTCTGTATAGGAATAATATCTGCTATTGCAGACACAAATTGTGGTACAATTTTTGCCATACTAAAAGCAGCAAATCCTGTGGAAGCTAAAGCCAGCTATACCTTATTTTAATTGATGGCAGCCAACAGGTAGAGGATGAATATGTCTAAGCTGTGAAAGCATCACTACTGCTCAACTGTTGTTAAAAATCAGCTGTTTCTAGCACTGGAACTGACCAATTAATTACTTGAAATGAATGAGGTTCTTTGCTGTATGGCACAAAAACATCCTTGGATGTTTTCTGCTGTCCTTCAGTTCAGTTTTAGTCTGTGCCTGATCTGAAAGTTTGGTCTGTGGCTGCTGTGGAAATAGGGTGCTGGTGCTTATTAAGTGTTCCCACAAACTCCAGAGACAAAATTAAACCATGCAGGGCAGTGATGCCCAGGGGTTTGATCTATAACACTCATTTCAGTAGCAGTCTGTGATGCAGAACTAGTCACTGGTAGTTCCCTAAAGAGCTCACAAACAGTACCAGGAGGAAATTGAGAAGTGGAAATGAAAGACCTCAGAAAGTGTTGGCTGGCCTGACTATTTTAAATGGTGTATTTTTACCTTTTCAATATATCAGATGTAAAATACATTGCATTATCTAATATATATATATGAAAAATGTAAATGTGTCTAATGGGCACATTAGATAATGGTTACTGTGGAGGCTGATATAGAGTGAACTAAGTAATAATGGGAGAGGAGTGAAAGGAGGAGGAACTGTGGCCTAAAAATGGGATGAAAAGAATAAGGAGTGTGTTAGAAGCTAGCCAGTTATATCCTCCCTGTTTAATATTCACCATAAATTTTGACTTTTAAAAATCTGGGTCAGGAGAATCATTAATGCTAATTAATAAAGTTATTTCAGTTTGGCCATCTGAAATGAAAGTGAACAGGCAATAAGTGTGATGTATAAGTACATGTATGTAAATAAAAGAAGTCCCAAGAGATAGCCCCCACCTTGTGTGCAAGCTTTATGCAAACACAGAGAAGGGTTTTGTGGGCGGGACTCTTGAATTTTGGTTTTGCCTTGAGCTTCAGAAGAAACCTGTGGGCCTAAGGAATTATTCTCAAAATTCCTAACTTCAAGATCAGGATCAGCAGTAGTTACCTTGGCATATCACTGCTCTTCAGCTAATTTGTGGTGATTTTCAGAAGGAGACCCTAATGTTGTTTTTTATTGCTTTGCTGGCTGGGAAACTGTCCCAGCAATACATGGCAGTTGATTGATGTATTTGCAGCTGAGCTGGTAGTGGTACTTGCACACTTCTTTTTCTGTGGAATAGATGCTAAACGTTTTGGTAAGTGGATGTAGAGATTTGCTGGATGAGAGAGGTATTAGTGAGTGTTATCCCTCCATTAAACCTTTCCAGTGGGGTGTGGATGATCTGCAGGCAGCAGTTCCAGCCCTGCACATCCAGTCTGTGCATGGCTGTCCCTGGCTGTAATTTGCAGTCTGGTTGCGTCCTGTTTTCTCACATTACAGAACATTTTTGCTGGCCAAAGGAAAAGAAAAATCGTATAAAACATTCTAAGTCTCAGAGTGTGTTTTTAAATGTTGCAGAAAGTGTTAGAAACAATTTCCACCTGTCTTTTCTTCTATCACATCATGAATTCAAAATTTAATTTGGGTAGAGAATGGTTCCAAAACAAAACTGAGGTCAGTATGTGTGTCCAAATGTGGCAGGGTGAAAGCAGGTCACTTCTGTCACTCTTGGTTGGTGGACTTTGACATTTTCAGTGGCAGGTTTTGGGTTTGAAGCCAAATATTGGAAGATTTTCTATTTTCATTTGCCTTTATCTACTGTGTCAAGAAAAATAGAACATTCTGTTTGGGGAACTTCTCCTTTTAAAAAGTTGTTGTATAGTAAATAGTTCTACAAAAACATGAACAAGCCACTCTGCTGAACTGTGCTTTGGATGAAGTAATATTTACATTTTGTAGTGCTTATTTTGGCTTTCCTCCCCATGATTTTCTACAATTTGTTTTCTGCATCCCTCCCTACAAACACAGTTGTATTTCAGAAATCCTTTCCGTTCTTAGGTGGTGCCTTTTGGCCATAAATACTGTAATCTAGAAAGAAAAGTGGGAGTTTTCAAACTGGCCCCACTGAGATTTGTCTCTCATGAATCTTGTGGGATACTGGAACATCCCTTTCCTGAATTTTTATAGGCAGGGTTGAATTTCACAGGATTTTGCTGTGGCACAACTGGAATGATCACCAAAACAGCCTTGTTAGACCCTCTTAGTAAATGCTTTGATTTGATTGGGACTACAAACAGCACTGGAAAACAAACAAATGGAATGTTTGGTGAGCGAGGGAGGAATGTGTAGATGTGCGATGTGCCAGATCTCGCCCTCGGGGTGAAGTCTGTTCCTCCCTGCCTTCTCCCTGCCGCTTACTCTGCTTCCTCCTCTGAGCTTTGATGCTGTAGGTGACCAGTTCCTGCTCGCTTTGCTGTACCCATCCTGCTGAATCTACATTAGCCTCTGAATTTAGGCCTAATCTTTTTTTCTTCCTCAGCACTGCTGAGCAGACTTGTCCCTCAGTTCTTGGCTACATTCCTGTTTTCTTCTCCCAAATTCATGGTCTTTTGTTTTGTCCCTGTGCTT